TTATAACTAAAGAACGGCTTGACGGATTTTGACATTTCATACAACGTTGGAATGGTATCCTGGCAAAAAAAATCGCAGTAAAATATGCCATTCAAAATGTGAATAAAAAAAACTTTTTGTGTGATTTTTTCAATTTGACATACTATATTGAAGTCAACATTTTTTATTATTTTGAATTCTGAATGAATAATATTAAAAATGAAATGAGAACTCAAAAACTTTAATTCATTACGACTGCAATCAGTGAAATACCGAATATAAAGGGTGCAAAGTGGTAGAGCGAATTGAACATTTAGTCAAAAAAGGATTTATATCCTTCCAGAAATTCTTCCTAAACATTCAAGATACCTTCAATCGCTTTTGAAAGTCATGATATATGACCCTAAGTCATTTGAGCAAAGGTTAGTAATTTGAGAAGAAACCATCCTCGCAAAAAATGATCACGTTTTGGTACAACCATCATATAATTTAACCAATTTTCGGGGTTTTGGACATTTTTTTTTTTTTTCATTTTTAGGCCTTTATTTGTCATCTTTGTTTCTAAGATGTAGAAAACCTCTTCTCATGAAATTTAAAATTTTCGGAGTATGGTGTATCTTGGTCTTGACCACATTCATCAATTGATTTGGCTAAAAAATTGTAGTTAGGCTACTCTGAATCATTTTACAGATAATTGTCCTTATAGGCATTTATTTGAATATAGTTCCTACATTAGTGTACCTCCAACCCCCAAAAGAATATTGGATGGGAACGTAGATTTGGCAGGTACGTGGCTTGACATAAACTCCGAAATGTCAAACGCTTTCAAGCGGAAACTGAGGCAGAAACATGAACAAAATTAAGAATATTAATGTCTTTGATCGTCAGTGAATTATACCATGATGAAAAATATGAACTTCCAACGCACAATTTAAATGACAAAAATAAATTAATGCCATTCTTACTGTAATGGGTGTAGAAGAATTATGAGGTGGACAAAACTAAATACCACACGGCACGGTATTCTAAACGTTGTAAATACAAATCCCAAATTACAGCTAATTTGAATGGAAAATGCTGCTAAGCTCTTTACAATACCAAAAATTGAGCTTAGTTTCCACATGGGACTATTATAGAGGTTCTATGTCATATAGATTTTTAACACTCAATTAAAGCCTATGGCTGAAAAAAAAAAGATCGGCCTATTCCAAATATCTATCCAAATATACACACGGCACGGTATTCTAACCGTTGTAAATACAAATCCCAAATTACAGCTAATTTGAATGGAAAATGCTGCTAAGCTCTTTACAATACCAAAAATTGAGCTTAGTTTCCACATGGGACTATTATAGATGTTCTATGTCATATAGATTTTTAACACTCAATTAAAGCCTATGGCTGAAAAAAAAGATCGGCCTATTCCAAATATCTAAAACAGACGGTGGGTGATTATTATAATATTTGCCATGAATGTTTATTTCTATTTAGAAATTACTATGGATTTATTTTATTTATAAAAAAATTTTGCCACTTACATAATTCAGATCTGTGTTCTATTAGACTTAATATGCATTAAAAACTAAAAGTACGGGCCGGCCGGACCGGGTCAGCTAGTTTATTTTATTAGCTTTTCTCCATGAATTTCATCAATAAATAAAGTAACATATGTACTATTGTTTTTCTCTCCCGCAAAGTCACAAACTATACCTTTTTTCAGCAGTATCTAGTGGATATGGATTGAGCGCTTACACCTTCCAGAGAGATTGACGTTGAAGTGGTCTATCCCGTGCAGCCAGTACTGTCACAATTCTATTATACATATGTTTGCTATATTATTTTTATATAAACCAGGGGGAGTGCAAGTTATATTATTATTTCTATTTCTTTAGTTGCAGTTACTGCAAGCGGGCCGGTAATGTTACCGCCAAGGTTATTTGTGCTGGTCACTCTATTTACAACTTCCAATTTGTATTTAATTTCTTCCAAATTTGCAACTCTCTCTTGGTACTAAATGCAACGTTCTCTCTTTTTTCCTTTTTTTACTCTTAAAAAACATTATATTTTTTCTAAAACACCGAGTGAAAAATCTTTCAAGACTGCGAAAGATTGTCCAGCATCACAACAAAACTTACCATCCCAGCAATTTCAAAAAATCCAAGAGAATTTGGCATTTTCACTTTATTTTGTTGCAAGAGCAACTTCCATTGATGCAATCCCAAAAAAATAAAACTGAAGACCAAATTATAATTATATTAATGTATTATTAAATGAAACTGCTACGTTGCTTAGCTGGACTGGCTGATGGCTGAGTAGCATATTGGATGACCCATATTATATCGTTGGTTGGTTGGTTGGCATATATCATATTACCATCTGGCTAGTAACGCTCGTGGAGCGAGTTTTAGTGGGAATGAATGGCTCGTGGACCACGTCAGCGATTTTTAGGGGAAATAAATTTTTTTTGGAAATACTTTTTAGAGGCGTGGACTTCGTTAGCATTTATTGTATGTCGCTGACTCCTCCCTCCTTAAATGTCTGCGTCCCATAGACTTTCCGACAGGTGCTTGGAATTGCATTTGTGGAGATTCAGTTTTTTGATCTGCTGGTACCAGAGCCATCCAATACATAGCAGTATGGTGCACATAAATGCGAGGTTCAGCTTTGTATCCAATCGTCTTTATCGATGAATATTACTGGTACTGACTTCATGAATTGGATATCCAGTAGTAGGTCAGCATGAGTGATGTTGACAAGAACAGGGGGTAGAAAGGTATTCTTACTAATCTGTCATACATTCAGTTTTCATTTATTTTTTATGATACTTTTTTGTGTGTGTTTTTGTACTTATTTCTTTCATATTCTACACATAGAAAGCAATTATCAATATTTTAATAGATGAGCAAGCAATGGTCTCTCTACAATCAGTATAAATTGCTGCTGTCGAGATTTTAAAGAATTAGTATATCATTTATTCATTAATCGTTTTCTCATTATATATGTATTTTTGCCTTTATATAATCTTTTTTGTATTTATTAATCTTCAGGGTAATTATCTGCTTTCTAGTGGATGAACAAACAATAGTCCCTTAAGCCATGGACCAAGTACGATCACCAAAATCGGCATAAATTACTACTGCAGAGATTTTCCTGATTTTATATCATTTATTCTCTTTGTATATGCGATTTTTGCTTTCATATAATCTTTCATTTGTTTCTTTTTTATATGTTTTTATTTCTATACCATTTATTAGCACCTTTTTGAAACGCAAGTCGATTTGTTTACCTTTGACAATAGTCGCTCTAGTGATTAGTTGGTTATAAACGGAAAACCTTTGGCATAGACAAGATATATAAAAAGTGTGATTCATTTGTGTAGACAGAAGATGTTCCGTATTCAATGGCCTCTATTATGTTTCCATATGATGTTTCCGATTTCAGCATTATTGGGTAGGTTTGTGTTGACGATGCCACTTTTTACCAGTTGACATGCTCTTACAAGTTAATTTACCACAAATATTTCGTTTATATTGTTTAGTTCGAAAAACCATTCATCGAATTGTTAAGCCTCTCTATCATTTCGTTAAACTTTTCAACTGCTTGATCTGATTTCTGTTGAAGGTCTAGAATTTTTTTATATTATTCATCATTATTAGTCACAATATCGCCTTGGCTTCTGAGAATAGCATCCCAATCCGACGCGTCCGGATTCCCATCCAGCCGTTTCCAACCTGTCCCAATCCAATTAATTGACCGTGCTTGTCTTCTGTTTCCATGGGTCAGTTCACCTAGCCGTTAACGTATCTTCTGAAGATGGTATAAAATGAAGCCTCTATTGTTGCTTGGTGAAATTTGCCGCTCAACCAAATACGATATATTAGTTGTTACTTCCACGTATTGTTCTAGTTTGATCACGTGTATCAGGCGGAAGTTTCCCTCAAGTATCCACCCGTTTACAACTTTTAGCGACACTAAAGATGAATGATACTGGAATATTTGAACCGCAGTCGCCAGCGATAGCACGTTAAGAACCCAGTAGGAGTAGTTTAATGGACATGTTTGGCAGCATAGTTTCTGAAAAGATCGTTAATATATGTAACTAAGGTATAAATCACGTGCATCAATATATTTGTATTATTTTTCTTAAATTTAGATACGGATATAGGTATTCTTACTAATCTGTCATACATTCAGTTTTCATTTATTTTTTATGATACTTTTATGTGTGTGTTATTTTTTGTATTTATTTCTTTCGTATTCTACACATACAGAGCAATTATCAACATTTTAATAGATGGACAAGTAATGGTCACTCTACAATCAGTATAAATTGCTACTGTCGAGATTTTAAGGAATTAGTATATCTTATTGTTCACGGATAAATGAACATGTTTTTATAATAAAAGAGAATAACGGGGCTACCTAGTGTAAATGAGAGGGATTTGTTAAACAGGGAACTTCTTAATACAGTCCACATTAAATATGATAAGAACATGTGGCGAGCAGACCTTCGAGTTAGAAATAAATAATATAGAATTTTCAATTGCTGCATGTGTTATGGTGGAGTTAGATAGTGGGATGTAATCTTTACTCAAACTGATAAGCAAGTGCAGCATGTTTGCTTCCCACATGTGAGATAGCTATGCGTGTTTATGACCTCTCCCTAGGGTTTATGGTAGCATGGTGCATAGGCATGTGTACAGTTGGTATCTCTCTCTCTCTCTCTCTCTCTCTCTCATTTACACTTAACGATAATTTAGGTTAAGTCATATTATCATAACTAGTTCTTAAGAAATATTTTTAATAAATAAATTTAGTGTCTTACAAACGCTCATGTGGTAAAGACTTTGCGTCTTTTAATTTGGTCCTTCGAGCCGGATCGGTAGAGTATAAATACTGAAGAATTTGCCTTAACATCGAGGAAATTCAGGTTAAATTTGGTCTTCAAGAGTGGAAAATCGAGCTAAAACTGCAGCTGGAATTGTTCCCATACAGAAGAAATTTATAAGTCAAACAAAAGGATGCTGAGTCAGAAGGAGACTTCAGCACAGAAGACTGTGGTGGCGGTGCACACCGAGGGTGCTTCATATTTGAAGTCTTCCGACAGAAGGGGTGAGGAATATCCCCAGGAGGACGAATCGGTAAAATGACCGCCAATGATGAAAATAAAGGAAGAGGCTGCCACTCTTCTCGAAATTATAGAAACAAAGAGTTCATTAAAGACGGAAAAAGCCATAGAAGGCGTATTTTTACTTCGCTAAAAAAAAACTTATGGACGCGGCAAGATACTTAATATTGTATCCATGCGTTCGTAGGCGGTATTTAGAGACGCTTCTAAAGAAGTCCAAACTAGTCGCTGCTATCAGAGCAAGTTAGCCGAATGCGACAGCGAGGCTGTATTCGGAAGATGTTAAGGCCATCCTTAAAGTCACACGGGCTCTTAATGTGAAGACCAAAGAGAAAGTCCTTGGCTTGAAGAAACAAGTGGTCTACATAACATCCAAATTGGACAACGAGCCAAAGGGGCGCGAAGCAGCGGTAGCCGAAATGAGAAAAGTGGAAGGTGATATTAAGGAAATGGAGGTTGCCTTGATTTCACAGAAAAATTAAAAGGAAGATGCCCTTAAACTTGTCTCGAATTTTTAAGGAGGAAGTCGAAAATTCTGTGTGTGTTGCCGAGGATACTAAGGGCAAATTACTAGCGGCTAAGCTGGAAGCAGAACTCAAGGACAAGTCTTTGAAGGCGGTAATAAGACAACTTAGTGATGAGTTGTCTTGTGCAAAAAGAGAACGACTTGCAGCTGAAACCGGACTTGACGAATTGGCTGCAAATCTAAAAGCTGGAGAAGAGAAAGATAGAAGGATACTTCTGCTGGAGGCTGATATATTGCAACTTAAAGAAGATTTGCTCATATCGCAGAAAGCATCCAAAACATCCAAAATCGAGGCTGATGAATTGGCTGCAAAATTAGTGGTCAATATCAACGAAGATATGATGGTTGAAGAGGTTTATATGGAAGACCTAATTGCCGAAAAAGAATCAACTTTGAAAAAGGTAGATGAGCAGCTCGCTGGAAAACTGGAAACAGGGAGATTGGAAGAAGTCGAAGATAAGCTGTTTGCCAGCGAGATGAAGACTAAGAAGAAAAGCAATCTGCGTCGCTGGAATAATAAGATGGCGCTGCCAAAGAAGGATGAGAACTTGGGTCACAGAAAGAAAACAACACAAAAAATGGACTCAGCCTGGAAATGTAAGCCAACAGAGAGACCGAATGGAAAGATGGAGGAGTTACCTGGGTGCTATCACATAGAAATCATATGTTATTTCACAATCTTCATGCTTATGCTTCATATTTGTAATTTTTATACTTTAATGTATTTTTGGCCCTGCCAAGAATGTTCACAGATAAGTAAACATGTTTTTATAATAAAAGAGAATAGCGGGCCTACCTAGTGTTAATGAGAGGGATTTAGTTAAACAGGGATCTTCTTAATACAATCCACATTAAGTATGATAAGAACATGTGGCGAGCAGACCTTTGAGTTAGAAATAAATAATATAGAATTTTCAATTGCTGCATGTGTTATGGTGGAGTTAGATTACGGGATGTAATCTTTATTCAAACCAGCGAACGAAAACAAACGAAACGATTAACGTACCGCTCACAAGAAGTCACAAACTTTTAAAATTTTTTCAATCGTTTTGTACTTCATACAAAAAAAAACCACAAACCTTTCAATGCCAGAAATACACAAACAGTACGTTTGCTTTAATGTACTATGGACATGAGTTGCCAATCTGTTCTGTTTGCGAACAAATCGCCAGGAAACGTTTCCGAACGTTTGCTGAGCGTAGTTATGCCTGGTGTATTTAGAGTTGTCATTCTAAGTAATATTTTTATACCCTCCACCATACTATGGATGGTATATTAATTTTGTAATTCCGTTTGTAACTCCTCGAAATACTCATGTCAGACCCAACAAAGTATATATATTCTTGTCCATGTCCGTCTGTCTGTTGTAATCACGGTTAAGTCGTAAATGTGTCATGTAGGTCCATGTAGGTTAAGTTCGTAAATGGGTCATGTAGGTCCTAGTTATCATTTAGCCCCCATATAACGGTATTCGGTATTTTGATTATTTTAGCGACATTATTCACCGGAATTGTTTCAAATTTGGCATTTGAAGTTCGTAATGGATACTACAGCTTAAGACAGAAAATTATCTGTGCAGGTTCACGTCTTCGTGTAGCCCCCATATAACGGAACCCCCTGATATTCGGTATTTTGATGATTTTTGCGACATTGTTTACCGGAATCGTTTCAAATTTGGTATTTGAGGTTCGTAATGGATACTACATCCTAAGTCAAAAAAATGAGCCATGTAGGTCCACGTCTTCGTATAGCCCCCATATAACGTTACCCCCCCCCCCCCCCCAATTTCGGTATTTTAATGATTTTAGCTACATTATAAACAGATTTTTCTTCACGTTTCGCATTTAAATATTGTAATAACTTATGGCAAAATTTGCCTATGCAGGTCCACGTCGTCGTATAAGCATTAAGTATTTTTAAGATCTTAACAGAATTTTTAACGTATTCACTGACAGCTTTTTTACTTGTTATATATTTTTCCGTTGTATGCTAGACATAATTATAAGTTTTTCTCTTAGTGAAAGGTTGAAGTATTTTTATACGTTCTCCATATTCTATTTTAAGCAAATTATTTTTTTTTTCTTGCTACATTATTCAGACCAAACAAAACTATGTTGCCTATATATTTTTGCACAACACTGGCAACACTGAGTATATTCAAAAAATGTAAATTTAAATTAAAAATTTGTTTGTTTGTTAAACTTTTTTAACTACAATAAAAACATTGTACAAAACATTATTTAAAAATTTACATATTTTTAAAGTATTATTATAGAATTTTTGAATTTTCAATGTTCATATTAAATTGTTCACATTCGTTTACACCAATAAATCTACCTATATTTATCTACGATGATAATTAGCAGTTGAACATTTGTAAGACCATGCCGCGACTTTGTAAGACCATGCCGCGTCCAAAAAATGATATAACACTAGAAATCTTTGATTTCGACGATCAAAGTAAACAATTTATGAGCAGAAACGGAGACTGCCATAAAACATTATGCGGACATGAAGGTAATTTAGGAAGACACTTAAAAACTGCACACCCTAATATTTATCAAAACTACATACAAATGGAAAATGAACAGTCAGTGCATTAAAAATTTCATGCATGATTGATAAGAATAGTGTGGAAAATGCTATAGTGGAGTTGTTTACTAAAAATGTCAGACCACTTCGTATGACAGAAGACCGGCCATTTAAGATTTTATATATTTTTCAGGAAATTATTGTACAGCTACATATTTTTCTAAATCCGAATTTTCTAATTCAACCTCTTGTGCCGAACCAAGTAATACTGAAGATGCGCTTGAAGCTTACCTTAAAACCTGTGATAGACCTTCCTGCAGTGAGCCACTCATAAAAATATTGAACGTGACCTATGAAAACAGCCCAGATTTGCAATAAATGGAAATATTATAGACTACTGGACAACAGAAAACAATACCTTAACAACAATTGCATTCATTTTTTATCGAATCCATGTACACAAGTAAGCGTGGAGAGATTGTTTTCGTCTAACACCAACAAATTTGGAGCATATTTTATTAACAAAAGTAAATGGAGCATTTGAATATGAAGGCAAATTATTTTTTTTAACCATTTTTATAATACTATTTTATTAAAACTTAATTCTTAATATTACTTTCTATAATATTTGTAATGAGTTAATATACAAGCAAACGTTTGCAATGTGTACTTGTATTGTTCTGTTTTCAACGTTGCATCATCAAGCAGAGTACATTTCAGTTTTGTTTTTGTTTCCACTCACATACACAAACAGTACAAAACTGAAAACAAGTGCCGTTAGCTGAGTATTGGTTATGTTTCGTTTCGTACTTCGGGAAAATTGCAAACGTTTGCAATAGTTTATTTTCGTACGCTGATTCAAACTGATAAGCAAGTGCAGCATGTTTGCTTGCCATATTTGAGATAGCTATGCGTGTTTAAGACCCCCCACTAAGGTTTATGGTGGCATGGTGTATAGGCATGTGTACAGTTGGTATCTATCTCTCTCTCATTTACACTTAAGGATAATTTAGGTTAAGTCATATTATCATAACTAGTTCTTAAAAAATATTTTTAATAAACAAATTTATAAACGCTCAAACAGAAAAGACGTTCCGTCTTTTAATTATTGATCCCGGTTTACACATTTATTCATTCATTGTTTTCTCATTATATATGTAATTTTTGCCTTCATATAATCGTTTTTGTATTTATTAATCTTCAGGGTAATTATCTGCTTTCTAATGGAGGAACAAATAATAGTCTCTTAAGCCATGGACCAAGTTCGATCACTAAAATCAGTATAAATTACTACTGCAGAAATTTTCCTGATTTTTTATCATTTATTCTCTTTGTATCTGCAATTTTTGCTTTCATATAATCTTTCCTTTGTTTCATTTTATATGTTTTTATATATAGATATAAAAATTTCAGAGTAATTATCAACTTTAAAGTATATGAGCAACCAATGGTCTCTTAAGCCATGGATTAAGTTTTCGCTAATTAATCAGTATAAATTACTACTGGCGAGGTTTCTGTATAGATATGTAGTTTCGGTAACTGATTTTTTTCTTGAACTTTCCATGGCAACTTCGTATTGGTCCCGTTTAGTCGAGAGCAGGCATGCCTCCCCAAACCTACTGGAGTACGATTTATCCATCCCACCCACAGGAATGCTCTTGTTGACGACAATTATCCTTAACTATTCCTTTTTATTTAGTCTCTGTTTCATCATTTTTATACCCTCCACCATACTATGGAGGGTATATTAACTTTGTCATTCCGTTTGTAACTCCTCGAAATACTCATGTCGGACCCAACAAAGTGTATATATTCTTGATCAGCGTAAAATTCTAACCTGATTTAGCGACGTCCGTCTGTCTTTTGTAATCACGCTATCTTTCGAACGAATTGAGATAGAAGGCTAAAATTTTGCACACATTTTTATTTTTCCAGTAGGCAGGCTAAGTTCGTAAATGGGTCATAAAGGTCCATATTTTCATATAGCCCACATTTAGTGGTACCTCCCGATATTCGGTATTTCGATAATTTTAGCGACATTATTCACCGGAATTGTTTCAAATTTGGTATTTGAAGTTCGAAATGGATACTACAACCTAAGACAAAAAATTATTTGTGCAGGTCCACGTCTTCGCATAGCCCCCATTTTAACGGTACCGCCTGATTTTCGGTATTTTGCTGATTTCAGCAACATTATTCACCGCCATCGTTTTAAATTTTGTACTGGAAGATACCAATGGGCATCAACATTATTCACCGGAATCGTTTCCAAATTTGGTAATTGAATTTCGAAATGGATACAACAGCCTCAGACAGAAAATTATCTGTGCAGGTCCACGTCTTCGTCCCCCATATAACGGTACCCCCCTTAATCGGTATTTCGATGATTTTAGCGACATTATTCACCGGCATTGTCTCAATTTTGGTATTTGAAGTTCGTAGTGAGAACTACAGTCTGTGACAGAAAATTGTCTATTCAGGTCCAGTTCTTCGTATAGGGCCCATATATAAGTACCTCCCTATATTTGGTATTTTGACGAGTATAAGTGCAAAACCCACCAAAATTGTTTGAGATTTCGTATTTGAAGTTCGAAATGGGTATTACAGCCTAAGACAGAAAATTGTCTATGCTGGGCCAGGTCTTCGCACATCTCCGATATAACGGTACCTCCCTATATACGATATTTCGATGATTTTAGCTACATTATTCACCTTTTTTTTGTTTATTCCCGCGGCCTTTTCTTTGTTTTTGAATGTATAGTATTATTGTACCTATCAACGCAGATCTGAACTAATGCCTTAACTGACGGGTCCGGGTATTCGACTTTTATACATCTATGAATTTCTACTAGAGTAAAGTGTAGTCTTTCGACCTGTCCATTGACTTCATTTCGTTGAGTAGGCGTAAGGAATAACTGAATTCCTAAGGATTTTATAAAGGTTTCTACTAATGGACTCAGGAAGGTACGTTCATTGTCAGTGACCAGGATTTTAAATGCTGTAAAATAATGTAGGATTTTAACTATTTTTTATTAACTTCGTTGATTTATCAGTCTTAAAAATAT